CCTGGAGGAAGTGCAGCCAGAATGCTCCTTGGAAGCAAGAATGGCCAGACTTCGTCTCACCTATTTTGGTCATGTTGTCAGAAGGAACCATTCCCTGGAGAAGGATGTCATGCTTGGTAGGGTGGAGGGTCGACGAAAGAGGGGGAGGCCTTCAATGAGATGGATTGACAAGGTGGCTGCGATGATGGGATCAAGTATAGCGGGGATTGTGGGGCTGGCGCGGGATCGGGCGGTGTTTCGTTTTGCTGTGCATGGGGTCGCTATGAGTCGGAAACGACTCGACGGCACTTAACAACAACAACAACAACAATGGTTAGTTCAGATGTAGGAATGTACACAAAGTTGCTAAAGAAGCAAAGAGAGAAGGGTACCTCTTCCAGTGGGGAAAGGGAAGTTAATGAAAACTCAGGCTAAAAAAAAATTGTGTGTAACTTGCCCAAAGTCATGTAAGTAGTATAGCCAAGACTTGAACCTAGATTCTAGAGTAAGACAAAAGCATAACCTAGCTGTAGTTGCCAAATGGTGTTTGGAAGTGAGACCTTCTCATGGCCTACCAGGTAGCTCTGACTTAGTTTTTTCACCAGATTTAAGTTCATTCAAGCAAATCCAACCCAGACCTTTGATTTCCTCCCTTTTTCTCTAACCCTAGCCCTGTTATGTTCCCAGTCTTACTTATCTCAGTAAGTATACAGCCATCTACCTAGTTGCTTAAGCTAGAAACCTAGGGCATATCCTTGATCCTCTTTCTTTCATTCCCCAGAAGCAACCAGTCAGCAGCTCTTACTGATTTTATGTCAAGTCTGGAGGCTTTTTGCCACCTCCACTGCTCTAACCCCAGTCCAAACCAGTGTCCTTTCTCACCTGGTAATAGCCTCCTAATTGGTCTCTGCTTCATTCTGCTCCCCTGCAGTCCATTTTCCACATAGCAGACAGACGCATCCTTTTAACATTTAAACATGATCTGCTCACTTCCAATATCTTCCAGTTGCTTCTCATTGCACTTGAATTTAAATCCAAATTCCTTACTGTGACCTACATGGTCCTAGGTGAGTTGCCTCTCACTGCTTCCACAAGCTCATCGTGCTTTCCCTATTCTTTCCTCAGATCTTAACATGGAAAACAGTGTTTCCATTGTCATCACTCTCACTCCATCATTCTATCATGTTGCTCTCTTATGTTTCATTTTTTTTACACTTATTCCTACCTGAAATAATCTTATTTATGATGTCTGTTTCTCCTCCAACTATAGCGTAAGCTTTGTGAGAATAGGAAAGTTGTCTACTTTAATCATTCTGATGATCTAGAATAGTGCTAATATATAGTATATACTCAGTTAAGTATTTGTTCAATGAATAAATGAACAAACAGGGTTTCTTCATAAATTTTAGGCTATTCGAAGCCTTATTGACTACAAAGCTGTTAAAAACTCAACTTGAGCTAATAATGGTAAGGAAAAGTGGAAATGGAATTCTAGCTTTTTCTCTGTTACTGGCAAACATTTGGCTATAGACAAGTTACTTAACCTCTCAGTTCCCTTAGTTCTGATAGAAGCAGGTTACAATTGATGATCTCTAAGTTCTTTTCTAAAATACTGATTCTGTAGTAGTCAACACTGTTCAACAAGAGCTAGCACATGTCTTTGATTTCTTAAGAGAATGGTCCCCCTCACCCTGTCGTATGGAAAACTCCTTCAGGTATCCAGTGCAACACTTCATCATTTTCAATATCATCATCAAAAAGTCCAGCATACATGAGTGAACCATCCCTCTGGAATGGAAAAATTAATAAACTTTGAGCATTTACAAAGCCCTTTTGACACATTATTCCAATTGATCATTAGAAGAATTGAAGTAGGTAGACTACAAGAAACCTTGGTTGCACAGTGGTGGTTAACTACTTGGCTGCTAACTGAGAGGTCAGAAGTTTGAACCCACCAGCCATTCCATAAGAGAAAGATGTGGCAGTCTGCTTTCGTGAAGATTATAGCCTTAGAAACCACATGGGGTAGTTCTAGTCTGTCCTAGGGTCTCTATGAGCCAGAGTCGACCCAATGGCAGTGGGTTTTTTTGTTGTTGCTGTTAGGCAGACCAGGTGCTATCTTCCTAATAAGGAAACAGAGCCTTGGAGAGGTTAGAGACATGTCCAAGGTTACTACTGGAACTGAGCCAGGACTGTGTCCCAAGTCCATTGTCTCCTATACTGGTACCATATCCACTGTACCACAGAGCACCACATCTCCTCACACCTGATGGTTGGGCTGGACTGTAACCAGTGATGATTTAGCACCAAATATGTCTGAGCTCTTTCATAGCATCACATTGTCTCCCTCTAGGTAAAAGATGTGAGCTTTGTGACGATGGCTACTTTGGAGATCCTCTGGGTAGAAACGGCCCTGTGAGGCTTTGTCGCTTGTGCCAGTGTAATGACAACATCGATCCTAATGCAGTTGGAAATTGCAATCGCTTGACAGGAGAATGCCTGAAATGCATATATAACACTGCTGGCTTCTACTGTGACCGGTGCAAAGATGGGTTTTTTGGAAACCCCCTATCTCCCAATCCAGCAGACAAATGCAAAGGTAAAATCAGCCGCTGGTCAGACTCTGTCACAACTGCATGTTTTTCTTGAGCATTTATTGTGCAGTCTCAAAAAAATTACCATTCACTGTCTATATGATAGACATTATAGTACGCTATAATAGAAATATAGTACAAATATTTACACAATTTAAACTTTCTAGTTTTTAATGTAATAGGTACATTAAAAGACTAAAAAGAAACAAAGGAAATTAATTATAATAACATTTTATTTAATAAAATATATTCAAGTTAATGTCATTTCAACAAATAATATAAAATTTATTAATGAGATTTTTTTTAAGTCTTCAATATGCACTGTGAATTTCACATCTACAGCACATCTTAATTCAGACTGGCCACATTTCAAGTGCTATGTGTCTAGTGGCTACCATATTAGCCAGTCCAAGTCTAGAGAATCTATTTTCAGTCTTTATATTTTAGTATTTCTGTCAAGTAATTGCATCTTTTTCTGTCTCTGCCTGCCTGCCCTAGCCTGTGATTGTAATCCATATGGTACTGTGAGGCAGCAGAGTAGCTGTAACCCTGTGACTGGACAGTGTGAATGTTCGCCTCACGTGACAGGCAGGGACTGTGGCACTTGTGACCCTGGATTCTATAACCTACAGAGTGGGCAAGGCTGTGAGAGGTGAGACATTGACATTGGTGGAAGTAATTATTGCTTTTATTTGTTGTAAGAAATGACTTTTTACAAGTTATATATGTTTGTTGACTTTCTTTAAGAAGTATTTGAGTGCCTAATAAGACAAGACACCCTTTAGAGGCAGTACTGGAGAGTTGTACTTAAAGTAATGGGAGAGAGGAAGAGTCGAGTACAATGCCCTAAATATGTCAGAATCACCAAAAGAACATTTTAAAAATACGTACTACAAAGTCCTCTCCAGAATGCTTCAAATCAGACTTTCCAGGGGTGCAACTTGGAAATTCTTGGTTTCACTTGGTCAGGAGGAATACATTTGGCATTTCCTCAAAAATTTGAACATAAACTTACCATACCAAAAACAAACAAACAAAGTCATTGCTATCAAGTTGATTCCAACTCATAGCAACCCTATAGGGCATAGTACAACTGCCCTATAGGATTTCCAAGGCTGTAAATCTTTACAGAAGTGGATTGCCACATCCTTCTCCTATGTAGCAGTTGGCGGGTTGAAACCACTGACCTTTCTGTTACCAACCAAGCATTTAACCACTGCATCAACTAGGGCTCCTAAGACTTAACCATATGACCCAGCAATTCCACTTACAGGTATATAGTCCATAGAATTGAAAGCAGGCCCTCAAACAATACTTGTACACCAGTGTTCATTCCAGCACTATTCACAATAGCCAAAAGGTTGAGAACAACTCAGACATTTATCAGCAGATGAACAGATAAATGAAATGTGGTGTTTACATACAGTGACATATTATTAGCCATAGAAAGTAATGAAATTCTAATACTACAACATGGATGAACTTTGAAAACGTTATGCTAAGTGAAATAAGCCAGGTAAAAAAAGACAAACATTGTATGATTCCATTTATATGAGTTACCTAGAATTGGCAAATACAAAGAGACCCAGGTAGATTAGTGGTTACCAGGGGCTGGGGGAATAAAGAGGGAAAATTATTGCTTAATGGGTACAGAGTTTCTGTTTGGGGTGATGAAAACTTGGAAATGGATAGGATGATGCTTGCACAATATTGTGGGTGGCTGTAATTAATGCCACCGAATTATACACTTAAAAATGGTTAAGATGGCAAATTTTATGCAATTTATATTCTACCACAATTTAAAAAGAAAGCTCTTGGTCAGTTCCAGTCTAGTGCCAGGTTGGAGAGCCACTGGCATTTTAGTAATGTTTACATGGGTTAAATCAGAAAAAGGAGTTCTGAATTAGAACTGTTATAAATAACTTGAGCCTCGGGGCTTAATGACCATGAACATTCTGTGTTTATCACCTTTCTAATGCAAATTGTATCGGTGTTACTGTGGTGGGGGAAAAAAAGTTTTTCTAAAGTCTGCTTTTTCTCCCTTGAGAAATGTCATTGTTCACTTTCAGGTGTGACTGCCATGCTTTGGGTTCCACCAATGGCCAGTGTGACATCCTCACTGGCCAGTGTGAGTGCCAGCCAGGCATCACCGGTCAGCACTGTGAGCGGTGTGAGGTCCACCACTTCGGGTTTGGACCTGAAGGCTGCAAACGTAAGGGGTGTTGGTGGCAAATAACTTTACCAAAAAACTGGTGTCATGAGGGTTGGTGTCACCCAGAGCAGTAACTTATGATGTCATCACCTCCCCTCATGGAACTCCTTCTGTACCAGACTGTGCAGAATCCTTAGTAATGTTTATCATCAATTTTAATCATAGACTAATATGTGATGAGTATAAGTGTAGATTGCTTAAATGTAATATTTCTTAGTTTATGTGAATAGGAACCACAGAATTGTTTTGTAAAATCTTTCTACATTGAATTGCAAAATTATTAGTTACTACATTATTAGTAACTGAGCAGAAGACTGTTTTGATTTTTCCCCTCCTTTTCCTTTAATTACTAATTCATTCTCAAAAAAGTTAATTGATATAAGTTCACAAATACTAATTACCTACTATAGTATTATAGCTAAAACCCCAGAAAATTTGATAAAATCAGCAACTATAAAAAACACCAGCAGCAACAAAAGCAGTAGCACATTCTTGTAGTGTGTGCAGACAGAATTACATGATTCCAACCATCACTATAATTGATAATAATGACATCTCTGGCCAAAGTACATTAGAAAGTTCAAAAAGTAAATTTGCGTAGAGTTTTATCCTTGTAGGTATTTTGATAACATGTAAGCTAGGCTTCCAAAAAATGTTGTTTTTATGACTAACTACTGGGATATTATTAGAAAAAATAATGAATTTCTGCTGAAACACTGCACAAAAATTTCATAGATTGTCATTTTGATGTCACTCTCTCTGACAGTGTCACCTGATACGGTCTATGGCTCCCACACTAGGGATGCAACTGCCAAAAAAGTAAACCAAACCCATTGCCGTAAAGTCAGTTCTGACTCATAGCAACCTTACAGGACAGGGTAGAACTGCCCACATAGGGTTTTCTAGGCTGTAATCTTTAAAAAGCAGGCTGCCACATCTTTATCCCTTGGACCTGCTAGTGGGTTCGAACCATAGACCTTTTGATTAGCAACCAGTTGCTTAATTCCTGCTCCACTGAGGCTTCTGTGGAACTTAAGTCTCCCCTAATTTCAGTTGTATCTATAAGTCTAGAAAGGACTTTGACAGCACTTCATTGTAGCCAGACCTGGCTTTTAGGTAGGGCTGAATCTAAATCATCATAGATGCTTTATTAAAAACTCAAACCAAACTCACTGCTGTCCAGTCGATTCAACTCATAGCGACCCCTCCTTGGGTTTCCGAGGCAGTATCATTAAGGAAGTAGATTGCCCAATCTTCCATCTGAGGAGTGGCTGGTGGGTTTGAACTGCCAGGCTTCTGGTTAGCAGTCAGATGCCTTAGGCACTATGCCATATTCTCCCCTAAAAATCTGGAGCTCAAGAGCACCTCTGGTTTCTTTGCAGCCACCTTATTTGTTTCCTTTAATGGCATTTCTGATTCTTAATTTTTTTCAATCTTTTATTTTTCCAAAGAAAGTTCTCCCTTTGATTACTGAGGTCTCCCAGCATGGTTAATGAAACTTTTTTTTTTTTTCTATCATTCACGTTCTTAGTGCAGATAAGAAACAGTGAAAGGATATTCTGTTCACAATGTGTTTGTTGATTTATTGGCTGCAGTTGCTTCCCGCCCTTAGAACCCTTTGGTACTCAAAAAACAAAACCAAACACACTGCCATAAAGTCCATTCCAATTCATAGCGACCCTTCCTTGGGTTTCTGAGGCAGTATCACTACCGAAGTAGATTGCCCAACCTTCCTTCTGAGGACAGTTACGTATAAACATCTGCTTCTCCTTGGCATAAACACTTGCCTGGAATTAGGTCTCAGAACAGTTTGATTTTTTGCTGTCTGAATTTCTTCATTTCGCCTGTGGAATATAATCCTTAACTCACTTCAGAGAACAGAGAGAGTAAACAGACTAGAAAATAATGCAAAGTAAGCATTAGCATTTGGGTTTTCTAGTCCTGTAGAGGGAAGCTCTGGTGTCATAGCACCTAAAGCATTTGACTGCTAACCAGAAGGCTGGCAGTTCAAACCCAAGTAGTAGAGAGATGAAGGTACAGGAGTTTCTTGAAGTGTGAAAAGGGCACAGGTTTGTTTAACAGAGTAATTTCTGTATCAAATACCATGAAATGTGCCCCAAAAGATAGGCATTTTACTTTACAATTTACTTTTGCCTTAGAAATTTCTGTCTTCTCTGTTAAGCAGACATAACCTTTTAAATTCTTATAAATGGGCTTGTTTATTAAAGGGTGTCTACTTGTGATGGTATAGTCAGCTTTGTTATCAATCTGAGTTCAGGGGTATAAAAATGCCCTTGTCTTACTATGTATGCTTTCCTTTTATAGCCTGTGACTGTCACCCTGAGGGGTCTCTTACACTGCAGTGCAAAGATGATGGTCACTGTGAATGCAAAGAAGGCTTTGTGGGAAATCGCTGTGACCAATGTGAAGAAAACTATTTCTACAATCGGTCTTGGCCTGGCTGCCAGGAATGTCCAGCATGTTACCGGCTGGTGAAGGATAAGGTAAGCTCTCAACAGTGCATTCATTCGTTTAGCACACATTGAGCACTTACTGTGTGCCAGGCTCTGGAGAGAGAATGATGAACAAGATAAATATGATCCCTGCTCTCAAAGACTTTTGTTTCAGTTTGGAGACAAGGTTTCCCTTGCTCATCAGAATTAGAGTATTCCTTTGAAACCTTCGTAAGCCGAAATGATGTAAAGTGAAAACTTTTTTGAACATATCGAAAATCAAAAAAAGTAACCTCTACCAAATCATACCAAATAACATATAAAACCTAAAATAACAGTAACATACAGTGTTCACAGACACAGTCCAAAGCTATGGCAGCTTGATGCTGAGATACTAAGTGTAGATCTTGGGGATGGAGCTTGGTGACGCCGCTCTTGCTGCTCAGGTTGCACGCTGCCTCTTTAATGGTTCACTGCAAAACAAATGCAGAATGCTAGTTTTGCTTTTTGCCATTTTTCATAAAATTGAAAATCCTCTTCACATTTCTTTTGGATAGCAAAAACAGGTACTAATGTAGGTCTTTTCATAAAAGCGAAGTGGCATAAAGCAAACTTTCAAAAAATGGAGGATACCTGTACACAAAAAAAATACTAATTGCATTAAATGTCACATAGAATACAAATTGAATAACTAAAGAGGACTAATTTACATAGGATTTTCTAGGGGAGTTCATTTCAGGTGAGATCCTAAGGATGAGAAGGAGTATGTCAAGTGAGAAGCAATGGGCAGGTTGTCCCAGGCAGAAGGAAAGTGATGTACAAAGGCCTCAAAGCTGGAGGGTGACTGGAGTGTGCTGGATCAGGGAAGAGTGGTATGTGGTAAGACTGGAGAGGTTGGTAGGGGCTTGTAGGACCATGTTGATCATAGTAAGGAAGTTAGATTTTATTTCAAATCCAATTAGAATCCACCAAAGAGTTTTAAGCTAGGAGATCCAGTTTAGCACTCTAACTGCTATGTGAAGAACGATGATTAGAAGTAGCGAAATATGGAAGCCTAGATTGGATTGGATAAATACATGTGGGGGGAACAGTCAGAGTAGGCAAGTATAGGGAAAGAGAAGAATCAAGAATGGGTCTTGGGTTTTTGGTTTAAGGTAAATGGAGGGGTTATTTATTGAAATGGGGATGACTCAAAACAGACTTAAGGGGGAAAAAAATCAAGAATATAATTTTGGATGTGAAATTTGAAGTACCTTTCAGAGGAAAAATGGAGACATCAAGAAGACAGTTTAAAATTCAGGGAGAGGTTGAGGCTGGAGAATCAGCAGCATGTCATCTTTAAAGTCAAAGAATGATCCTGACCATTTTTCTTTTGAAGCCAGAGAAATAAAAATTGCCCATGATTTCTATTTAAAAGAGTACCCATTACAAAACTCAAAATCATTTGGAGGCAAAAAAAAAAAAAAAAAGAAGGTGGGGACCAGGTTTGCTGGTCCAATAGAGCCTGGTGTAACCACTGAGACTATGGCCCCTAGCTGCCCTTCAGGTCTGGAATTGAACCCACAACTGTGGTTTCCAGCCAAACAGAGTACAGGCATGTGAGTTAAACATTTACCTCAAGTAGACACACGCCCTGGAGAAAACAATCATGGGAGAAGGAAGGGCTGCTTATGCACAGGGAGATAGCTCAGGGTGCAGAAGAGTATGAAGGGATGGACACTGGGAGGAGGTAACTATGGGGAGGAAGTGGGAGGGGAGCTGCTGCATTGTAAATTTTGGTCAATGACATGAGACAAAGTATATGTGAACTGCTGTATGAAAAGTGAATTTACTCTGTAAATCTTCACCCAAATCCTAATTAAAAAAAAAAAAAAGAAAGAAAGTGAAGAGGATTCAAAGCACTTTGATGAAGATCAAAGACTGCAGTCTTCAGTACAAAAAAATAAAAATAAAAGAGTACCCATGCTGTCCCTGCAGGAGATACAGTTAAGAGTGTCCTACTTGTCTCTTTTCTCCCATTGTTATGTTTAGGTTGCTGATCACCGAGTGAAACTGCAGGAATTAGAGGGTCTCATAGCAAACCTTGGAACCGGGGATGAGATGGTGACAGATCAAGCCTTTGAAGACAGACTTAAGGAAGCAGAAAGAGAGGTGATGGACCTTCTTCGTGAGGCCCAGGATGTCAAAGGTACACAATTGAAGTGGCTAGCTTCCACAAGACTGCCAGTATTTAGACGTGGTTTATAATTCAAGGTTAATTAGTGTGCTTTTAAAAAATTCTCGCTCAACTTCTAAACTATTTGTAGAATATGAATTATTTTATTGTTTTTTAAGCAGTATTTTAAAAAAGAACCTGTCAACTTAATGTAAGCATAAGATAATTCTCTTAATATGCCAAAATGTTTAAATTCCATTTAAACCAATCCCATTTTATAAACCTATCCCATTAGCAGAAAGGTTCCTGGGTTTATGGTGCAAACAGTTTACACTCAACTATTAACCTAAAGGTGGGTGATTTGAACCTACTTAGCAGCACCACAAAAGAAGGGCCTGGCAATCTGCTTCCATAAAGATTACAGCCAAGAAAACCGTGTAGCAGCTCTGTTCTGTAACACATGCAGTCATCATATTGGGATTGACTTAGAGATGCCAGCAGCAGAGCATCCCATTACAAGACATTTTTAAATAGTTTAAAAAATGTTAAAGGCACAAGGGAACAGTGGCCTCTGTGACCCTGAGAGCAGCAGAACTAGGTGATTTCTGGCTGTCACTGCTGACCACTCTGAATGGGATCACAATAGGAGATCCTGGATGTAGAGTGGAAGGAAAATATGGAACCAACTCAAAATCATAAAAAAGACCAAGCTTACTGGTCTTACAGAGACTGAGACTTGGGTCCTTAATCACCCTCCGGGCCTAGAACTGAACTCAACCCTGTGGCTCAACTTTTAATCAAATGATAGACCTATAAAATGAACAGTAATACCAGAGAGGTACATACCCTTTGGAACAGACACCCGTATGAGCTCAAAACAGCAGCATTTGCCCAGGGAAAGCTCAGAAGGCAGGAAGGGATAGGAGAGAAGGATGAATGGAAATGGTAACCACAGGGAGGAAGTGGGAAAAGTGCTGTTACATTGTGGGGATTATAGTCAGTGTCATGAAGCAAAATATATATGACTTGGTGAAGACTACTTTGCTCTTGAAACTTTCACCCAAATGACGATGAAAATAAAAAAGTGTGTTAAGCCTCCACTCCCCCCAAAAATTAAATGTATACATTTTTAAATAGAAGCTGAACTTTAATTTTCTATCATTCTAGTGAGTGAGAATGTATTTTATGCACTACTTTATTTCCTTAGAAAGAACTCAGTGAAAAATTGTGGTCTTCAAGTATGGAATGAACAGGTTCTGAGTATATAACACTTGGCCTTTAGGAATGTAAAGATTAGAAATTAATACCCACTTATGAAATTTCTTGTCTAATGAGCAAACATGTTAATAATGGTCTGTAAAAGTAGGTACTTAATATATTAGGTACATAGTTAAGGTCCTTTGCAACTAGATAGATAGCTTTTCTGAACATTATCTGTTGAGACCTGCCAATAAGCAAATAAGAGATTGATTTAAGATTTAAAAAAATTAAAAAATATATTTTTTTAATACATTTATGGACTTTAAAGCTTAGGAAGTAAAAATAAGTTATTTTAGATAATTGACTAGCTTTTAAAACTCACTTTAAAAGTTATTTTTGAGAGGGAGAACAATGTGGAACAAAACTCAAAATCAGATTTTGGAGAAAAAAAAAAAAAGGTGGGGACCAGGTTTACTGGTCTGATAGAGCCTGGTGGAACCACTAAGACCATGGCCCCTAGCTGCCCTTCAGGTCTGGAATTGAACCCACACCTGTGGTTTCCAGCCAAACAAAAGACAGGCATATGAGTTGAACATTTACCTCAAGTATAGATACACTCTTTGGAAAGAAGAACAATCATGGGAGAAGGAAGGGCTGCTTATGCACAGGGAGACAGCTCGGGGCAGGAGTGTATGGAGGGATGGACACTGGGAAGGGGTAACTATTGGGAGGAAGTGGGAGGGGAGCTGTTGCATTGTGGTAAACTGTGGTCAATGACATGAGACAAAGTATATGTGAACTGCTGTATGGAAAGTGAATTTGCTCTGTAAATCTTCACCCAAATCACAATTTTTAAAAAAAAGTTATTTTTGCTCTGTGCATTAAACTTTTTTCTAAACAAGTCCTTTTTCACACTTACTAGGTGCCTCTAAAGAGCTCTGGTGGCAGAGTGGTTAAAGCATTTGGCTGCTAACCAAAAGGTCAGTGCTTTGAACCCACCAGCTGCTCCATGGGGAAAGATGAGTCAGTCTGCTTCCATAAAGATTTACAGCCTTGGAAACCCTATGGGGCAGTTCTGCTCTGCCCTGTAGGGTCACTGTGAGCCAGAATCAAGTCAGTGACAGTGGGTTTAGGTACTTATAGTATGCCAGGTATTTTGCTAAATACCAAGAATAAAAAGGTGAAAAAAGTGGTTGCTGTCTGTCTGAGGTTATTTTTGCTTTGGCGCTTTCCATCATTGACATTCCAATGTACACAGACAGGCATAGGAAGTATGCACGAACATTAGTACACTTTGCATACAATGATTGACTTCACTATTGAGTTTATGAATCTACATTCATTTGGCAAGACTCTCTTATAGTGCAAGTCAACAAAATCTATATATATTGCTTATTTTTGTTGTAAATATGTTTGTTATATAGAATTTTGCTTTTACAAATTATTGAAGTATGAAGTAAAGAAGTAACTGGATGTATCTGTTTTTGACCAGTTTGTTACATTTTTATGTAAGAGTCCAGAAATTGTTCTATTAGGCAAATTTTTAAAAATGGAAATATAAAATGAGGGATTGATAGCCTAGTTTAATTTTTTATTTTGTTTTTCAGTTTTCTTTCTTGTTACATCTGAAATCTTAAACATAGATTAAGGAGCCCTGTGGCTCAGTGGTTAAGTGCTTGGCTGCTAATTAGAAGGTAGGAGGCTCGAACTCATCCAGCAACTCTGCAGGAGAAAGACTTGGAAGTCTGCGCCCATAAAAATTGCAGCTTCGAAAACCCTATGAGGCAGTTCCACTCTGTCATTTAGGGTCACTATGATTGAAAATCAGCTCAGTGGCACCTAACAACAACATACATCCATTAAGAAGAATTTAAATGTTTCCTGGTCTACTTAAACAACAGTGTTTCTTTGTAAGGCCATTTTTCAGCAACAGCTTTTGACAAGTGTTGTTCCATTAATGTATTCTCTTGAAACAGCAAATTCACATCTGTCTTGCCATATACATTGGAGGATCGAATGTATGGGTGTCACTCTTAAGTACTTCTAAGTGCAGCTGAGAGCTGACATTTGGCACACAGCTCCAGTGCAAGGAATGTCGGTCAGCCAGCATTGCCACTCATCTAAGTTCCAAGCATCCACACACAGCCCCAATGCATACGGCTTCCTTCACCTCCAACTGTCACCCACTTTGCTCTGTTTAAGCAGGTGGTTCTGTTGGATGGAAGCTGTGATGGAGCCCTGGCTATCATACCTCTCCTTGAACCTCGTGGGAGGTATAATGCATAATGGGCTGTTGCTTCTAATAGCTCCGGCAGCAGTGTAGTGAGCCTGGGGTTAAATTCCAGTCCCGCTAAGGCTCAGTTGCGGAGTTCTGGCTCACCTTTCATACTTAGGTTGAAATTAGCCAAGGATGAAAATATCTTCATAATGATTTATCTTTGAATACTATTCCAGAATACTCATTAATACTTTAAACTTTTGATTATTCTACATATTTGAAAGGAGATTATTTGGTGCAGTTAGGTCTTGCAAGTAGACACTTAGAATTGGAAGGAATTCGAAGTGATCTTACCAGTTAGGTTATCTATTCTCTATTCAGATATTACTTTTTCTTTAAAGAACTGGCTGGAGAGATGAATGAATATTGCATTCTCAGAGGTATAAAGGGAAAACTCATTGCCATTGAGTCGATTCTGATTAATAGCAACCTGTAGGACAGGGTAGAACTGCCCCATAGGGTTTCCAAGGCGGAAAATCTTTACGGAAGCAGACTGCCTCATCTTTCTCCTGCAGAGAGGCTGATGGGTTTGAACCACTGACATTTTGGTTAGCAAACAAGTGATTTAACCACTATACCACTAGAGCTCCTTTGTCTAAATGGAAGGGGCTTCTATAACCTTATTGGAAGCTTATGCCTCCAAAATCTAAATTATTTTCTATGATTTAAAATTGTTTTTACTCTTTGTATTTTCTTAAACATACTCAGATTGTCAAAGAATTATTTATGTACTCCTCAAAGCAAAGCCACTGTTTAGGCAGGAGTTGGGCAGTGTACAATGTTTCCAGGTGTGTTTGATTGTCTTACTACTACTTTGATTATTTTCCTACATTAATTTTTGTTGCTCTTCACTTTTTACATTTCATGGGAAATTTAGACCACAACACTGATCCTTATACTGAAATAGGAATCTGGTCAATTTATAGTAGGACACTTAATGGCTCCAGTATGTTAGCATAACCTCATGATATGTGACAGTTTTCATGATGACGGGCTTATATGTACATGGATTTATATTTATCTTTTGATTTATTAGGACCTAAATAGGAGGTGTTAGTTGAATGGGCATAAATACTCAATAAGAGTTAAAGAACTATTGAGAAATCAGAGGTTGATTTGAAAGACATTACATGGAGATACTGGAGGTTAGGGATGGGGGCAGGATTCTGTCATTCAGTTTAAAATACAAATGAGTATAATCTGCTAGACTTTAATGTCTATTTTCAGCTGAGTGTTTTTCTAGTTTTGAAAAGTGTCCAACTCTCAGGACTGGCAGTGCTTTCAACAACACTGCCTTTTTATCATGAAGTTTAGCTTGTGCTTGAAAATCAAAATCAGTCTTTCCTTTAGTTAAGTATTCCTTGGATATCTTCTCTTTGTTAATCACTACACGAGACTAGGGCTATAGTAGCAAATGAGAAAGAGGAGCTCACTGTCAAGTGGGACACGCAGGAACATGCTTGTAGAACACTGTGATGAGTGTAGCATGATCTTGGGTTAGTGAAACTAATGAGTTCTGCTTGTGGCTTAGCAAAAACTTCGCAGAAAGATACCATGTTTGAAAAAGTAAAAATAGGTAGCATCTCCCAGTATAAGCAGCTGCCTCAGATTGCACGTGAGATGATGTGTGATCTTTAGGTAATTTACGGTCTGTCTTCTACATTGCTGTTGTAGATGTAGACCAAAATTTGATGGATCGCCTCCAGAGAGTGAATAACACTCTGTCCAGCCAAATTAGCCGTTTACAGAACATTCGGAATACCATAGAAGAAACTGGGAATTTGGCTGAACAAGCACGTGCCCGGGTGGAGGGCACAGAAAGGTTGATTGAAATTGCATCCAGGGAACTTGAGAAAGCTAAAGTTGCTGTTGCCAATGTGGTAAGTGATTGGGAGAGTCTGAGGTGGGGAAGTGGGGAGGTGAGGGTCCTGTGACAATTTAAAGCAAGAGTGTTATTGGCAGTGGAATGCTTCTTCAGCTAAATTGACTCATTGCATCTTTTTATTTGTCCTTAAATATGGAGCAGGAAAGCCATGTTGCTCATAGTCATGATGAAATAATTATCACAAACTAGATAATAACAAAAGGACATCTGGCTTCTTTCTTAAGCTTTGTTCCTTATATGGCACCAGACAATTTAATCTTCCTTTACTGAAAATAGAAAAAATCATCTACAATCGGGATGCTGATGTTAAGTAAAGATCTTGTTATTAAATTTAAATACTTTAGTTCTTTGAGATAGGTGCTTTATTTATTTCCTCTCCAGTCAATCACTCAGCCAGAGTCTACAGGGGACCCAAACAACATGACTCTTTTGGCAGAAGAGGCACGAAAGCTTGCTGAACGGTAACGTATTTAACCATTAAATTATAGCTTTCCTTATCATGCATACATGGTGTCCCATCCCCACAAGCAAGCACATACTATAGAACCCCTTTTAGCAAAGTGTGGTCTCTTTTGGAAATGTTCTCAGCCATATGTATACTCTTCTTCTTGTTACTTCAAACTTAGAATGTTTACTTTGTATATTAGAATATGTTGGCTTAGAGAGAAATTGTATTTGCACATCTCAGAGGAAATCACAGTATTTTATTTTATTTTACTTGTAGTTTGGGTGAAAGTTTACAGAGCACAATAATGACCAGAATTACTGGTCAGATGAAGTCTGGTGAGACTCCCAATACTATGGCCCTGAAATACATTCGGCGCCTGGAATAAAACTCACCCCCAGGGACAGGCTCTCAGCCCAATGGTTAGCAAGATGTACACGCAGACCACTCAACCCAAGATGCCGCACCCACACACTCAATGGTAATACATCCCCTAAAGCAATAAACCATGGGACACCAAAGGACCAACATTCAAACTGAGGAAATGCAGGACAAACAGGAGTGCATAATTATGAGGGGCACAGGGGGAGGGTTGCAGGGTAGGGAGGGGAGGAGACTGGGTTAGAGTTGGACAAGGTAAATGGGGAATGAAAGTAAATGTACACGTGACTTTGAATGTAAAACAAGCTCTTAAAAAAAAAAAAAAAGGTTCAGATGGAAGAAGACATAAACAGCAAGAAGAGCCTAGAGATTTTTTGGAAAAAAAAAGACAAGAAGTCTTCACACATATCAAGCAAATTGCACATTTTTCAAAATGTGGTACTGGCTTTCTTCACAAACAATAGAAAAGGTCTAAGAGAAAATCAGACTATTGCGAAATTTAATATATGAGAAAGATGGCATTTCAAATTATACAAAAGAAATATTCAATAAATGGTGCTTGAACAATTAGGAAAAAAAGAAAAAGCTTACAAAGCAAATTAGTTTTCCATTCATCAACTTATACATACTTTGTTTCATGACATTTGTTAGAATTTCCTCAGTGTAACAGCGCTCTTCCCTTTTGCTCCATAAATTCCCTGTTTCCATTCATCTTTTCTCCTGCCACTTCCTGCTTTCTGAACATTGTTTTTGGGCAAATGCTGCCCTTCTTGTCTCCTGTGGTTGGTTTGTCTGAGGAGTAACTTCCTCCCTGGTGGTGGTACTCTAGATTTATTTTTCATTTGGCTAAAAGTTGACCCCTGGGGAGTGGGTTCAGTTCCGAATTTGAAGGGTATCTAAGGGTCACTCACAGTCTTAGAAGTTCCACAAATCTCTATTAGACCAGTTAAATGTGATCTTCTTTAACTCATATATAACATGTTAGATTTTTAACCTCAAAGCTTTAAAGTTGATAGTTTAAAAAAAAAAAAACTCAATTTATTTATTAATTTTTTAATGAAAATGTTGACTTTTCAAGAGTCTTAATAGAAAACATGTATTGATCCTTAGTACATTTGAAGGGAGCTCTGGTGGCGTAGTGTCTAAGCATTTGACTGCTAACCAGAAGGCTGGCAGTTCAAATCAGCCGAAGAGCACAGATCATTTTCATTCCTGACATTTTTTTTTTTTCCCAAAAAAAGACTTTTAAGTATAAGGTAATTTCTTTAGAACACTTTACATTGTACAGGATATCAAGCTAAAAAAAGTTGTTTTTAAAAATAAAATTGCTTGAAAGTAGGCTCCACGAAGGCAGGCATTTTTGTGTGTTTTAATCACTGCTAAAGCCCCAGTGCTTAAAACAACTACTGACATCCCATAGGTTCTCAGTGATGTATGTTGAATACATTGCAGAACAGTTTATAGACCTTATTTACAGTTGTGAGTTACGTTTGACCCAGAGATCATGGGTGCAGGGTGCTTAAGTAAGCCTGGTGATAGAACTTCAGCCTTCGTGTCCAGACCAATTACTTTGGTTTCTTTGTTTAATATCAGTCTCTTATTAGTCTGTGTGAATGTGAATGTGTGAGCTGAATAATCTAGGTCATGAAACATTCATGATTTCATAGCTGGATTTTCTTACTGGAAGAAGACAGCTGAAAACATTATAGAAAGCTCCCAAGAGTAGATTAATTATGGTATGCTTCACACAAGGATTGTGAATGAAAATATATCATTCCCAAAAGATTAGCCACATATTGCAGTGTGACACTGTAATACGAAATTTTAAAGTTGAAATAATCCTTAGCAGTTACCACAGCTGAAATGCATTGTTTGACTGGAGCCCCGTGGACATATCACTGCCATTTTGAATTGCTTTTCCTGGCCGGGAATTAGTTTGCATGTGAAGGGTGTACTCATGAGAAGTCTGAATTGCCCAGGTTGAACTAGACTAGCAAATAGCTAAAGATTAGATCTGGGATTTGTGTTTTGACTAGATAAGGGGTTTCTTGTTAGCATGCAAGGTTTTATTTGTAAATTATTCTTAAATGATCATATGTAAAGGTAGTTTTCTGAAGAAATGTAAACATTTGCCCCTGTAAATTTCATACCATTACTTTTTTGGGGGAGGGGGGATATACCCTTTTCCCAGTTTTTAGTGCTGTTCTTAAACCCATCCCCACTGAGATGATCACAAAATTCCAAATTAATGCGGTTTTCCAATATTTGTATAACTGCCCAAGTTCATATATATATAGAAAGAGAGAGAGAGTAAAGTAAGTTTTTACTTGTTTTTCAATGAGATGATTCTGCTGCTTCATGGTTTATTTTTTTTCATTTATATTGTACAGCCATAAACAAGAAGCTGATGACATTGTACGAGTGGCAAAGACAGCCAATGCTACATCAACTGAGGCATATAATCTGCTTTTGAAGACATTGGCAGGAGAAAATCAAACAGCATTTGAGATTGAAGAGCTTAATAAGAAGTGAGTGTGATTTAAAGTGGTTTATAGCCTTTAAAATATTCTTGTAAGTAACAGCAGTTCAGTGAAAACTTAAATGCTGGTGGATTCACAGCTTGCATTCATGCAGTAAGATTTCTTTTGTTAATCATGCTTTTGAAACGGTGCAGTAATTGGAGCAGGGGATGCAGAGCCACTGAGATTTATTTGATTCAATCACTAAAACTGCCAACAATGGTAACAAGACTATCCATGACACTTAAAATTCTGCATAAATGAAAAAAGAAAAGTGTTATGGAATAAGTAGAGATGATGTCCTTGAGCTACAAATACTTAAAGGGTGTCTAAAATAAAAGCATACAGCAAATCTTACCTTATAAATGTGATGAGATGAAATGTAAATTTAAGCTAAATGTTAGTATTAAGTAGCATTTTAATGTGGTGCTTTCTTTGAGGTTTTGGAAACGTGTCATAGTGATACAACCCTTCTGGGACCCCTGGGACATATAGCACCCACAAACATTTTCATCCTGTCAGGTATCTTATGAAGCTGTTATCCTGATTATAGTACGTGCTACCACCTGGGAAGGACCTGCATGAATCTGAAGAAACAGACCTCACTCTACCAATCCTACCACCAGAGTCCACCTTGAATATGTGTGTCCCACATAATTGTATCAAAATCCATATTACCTCAAAAAAAAATTTTCCCTTGATTTCAATATGCCTTCATTACTGAAGACACATGGTATCAACAAAATTCAAAGCAAAAAATAATTCAGTTATGAAAGGGTTAAATTAGATTGAGTTTGATTTAAATGAAGATGCTAAAAGCAACTAAATTACTCATGAAATGACATCTTTTTCCCCTTAGATATGAGCAAGCAAAGAACATTTCACAAGATCTGGAAAAGCAAGCTGCCCGAGTACTTGAGGAGGCCAAAAGGGCTGGTGATAAAGCTGTGGAGATCTATGCCAGTGTTGCTCAGCTGACCCCTGTGGATTCGGAAGCACTGGAGGTAGGGGGCAGATAGCCTACGTGCATAAGGCTGTTGTCACTGCTGTCATCCATCACGGCTTGCACCACCAGCCCCCAGACACACATTCACCAGTTTACCAAACCAAACCAAACCCACTGCCGTGGAGTCGTGTCCGACTCATAGCAACCTTTCCTTGGGTTTCCCAGGTGGTATTTCTAGGGAAGTAGATTGCCCAACCTTCCTTCTGAGGAGCGGCTGGCAGTTTTGAACTGCCAGCCTTCTGGTTAGCAGTCAAATGCCTTAGGCACTATGCTACCAGAGCGCCCATCCTCCAGCTGGTTCACTGGTTAAGGTGAGTTCTTTTCTAAATACGGTCATAGAACTTTGAGGTAAAGAATCCTATAATTAAAAACATTTAAAAACCAATGAGTTCTTTAGTCATATGAATGATTACTTCTAATATAAAACCAAATTGTCATATATTTAGATTACTAAAAGCAGAGTGTACCAGACCCTTACTTCCTGCACTGTCTGGCAGAGAAATAAAAGAGAAGGGTTTATATGAAAAGACTGGATCAGAATGCTTTGGGGCAGGTAGAATATTTTAGGGTTGGTGGGATTTTTTTTTCATATCTGTCCTCATATCAGCCTTTATATAAATGTGTAATTTTTACATTAAACTTGAAATATACTAAACTTCACTTCTTATATCTGATGTACTGACTGGAATTTTACTATGAAGGTTTAGTTCTCTCCAGACATACATACTGTGAGTTCTTGCATGTGAAATTTGAGAATAGGCAAAACTCATCTATGATGATGAAAATCAGAACAGTACCAGTTGCAGTGCTGGAGAGGGTAGGGGTGGAGATTCACTGGAAGGGAGTACAGTGGAACTTTCTGGGGTGATGGAAAGATTCTGTATCTAGATGGGGGGTTGGTTACATATGTGTATTCGTCAAAACACATCAAATCACATACATGTAAGAGCTGTCCTTTTCACTGTGTAAATGAAAAATGAGTGTTAATTTTTTAAAAAAGAAAAAGGTTGAAAAAATCGTAACTGTTGGTATTCTTTCAAAAATGTCTAGTAAGTGTTAACTGCTACAGAGTTATTAAGCCTTCCTTTTCATCCGATTAATTGGTTTTTTTTTAAATGTAGTGATCTTACTTGTTTGTTACAGAATGAGGCAAATAAAATAAAGAAACAAGCTGAGGATCTGGACCGCCTGATTGACCAGAAGCTAAGAGATTATGAGGACCTCAGAGAAGACATGAGAGGGAAGGAGCTCGAAGTAAAGAACCTTTTGGAGAAAGGAAAGATTGAACAGCAGGTTGGTTTAATTTGCAGGTTACTTCATCTCTTGAGGCAAAATTTGAAACATTTCAGGTGTAAGCTTTGTCTTATGTCACCATATTTTCAGGGGCAGCAAACCACAGAGATTCAAGGTTGTGGGGAGGGCCTTCAGTGCAAGGCTGGGGCTTAACATGTACAACACCAACATTAGAGTGGTAGCTTTGAGCTGAGGGTTCTGTTAGGATGCAGTTGCCATCAAGTCTCTTCCAAGTCATGGCCTCCCTACGTGTGTCAGAACAGCGCTGTGTTCTGTCGGGTTTTTAGTGGCTATGAGTGTTCTGAAGCAGATCTCTAGGCCTTTCTTCTGAGGCACCTCTGAGTTGACTCAACTACCAACCTTTCCATTAGCAACTGAGCATGTTAACTGTTTACATTAGCGAGGGAGGCCCTGTTAGGATAGAGGAAGGTGCGTTATCTGATCAGCCTTGTGTTTGCAGACTGCTGACCAACTCCTAGCCCGAGCAGATGCTGCCAAGGCTCTTGCTGAAGAAGCTGCTAAAAAGGGACGAAATACCTTACAAGAAGCCAATGATATCCTCAACAACCTGAAAGGTATGACAGAGTCAAATATTAGGAGTAGGTTTGTATACTTCATCCACTAGGGCAATTTTCTTTCTTTCTTTTTTTTTTTAAGCTTTTATCATGAGAATCTTTAGACATACACAAGATTAAAACCAATAGTATAGTAAAACCTCCAGTACTTATCCTCTAGATTCAGTGTTTATGATTTTATTATACTTACTTCGTTCATTCCGTAGCACCCATCCCACTTTTTTGTGCTAAAGGAAAATCTCAGTGCTCATGTCATTTTACCTCTACATACTTGAGGGGTAAAGTTTTTTTTTTTTTAAATGAAAGGACATTGTTTTGGTTACCTAGTGCCGCTCTAAAAGAAAATACCACAAATGAGATGGCTTTAACAAACAGGAATTTATTCTCTTACAGTTTAGAGGCTTTAATTCTGAGTTCAAAGTGCCAGGCTCTAGGAACTGGGTAAAAGCCCCTCAACCTTGGGCTTCACCTTTCCCTCCTGCTCCCATCCCACTGAAACTAGAGGCTTTTCTTCACTCAGACAGCTGCTGGCTGCTGAGACTGACAAGCCCAAAGTTGAGGAGTAAAAAGGTATAGTCCTGAAGTTACCAAACAACATGACAGGCCATTAATTCAGGTCCATTGGAAGACCCAAGGTCAGCAGAGCATGGCACACTTCTGAACAGCGACTTGGCTACATGTATGGTTCCAGCATGCCATAAGCTAGAGACCATTCCCCAAGGCTGCTGCTTCTATATGGGAAGCAGACCACATCCCTAAGGCAGCTACTTGCTGCTCACAGTAGATTCCACCCTGGAGTTGATTGCCAGTCTCTCATGGGGAATAACTACCACCAGCTGCCCAGCCACTCAGCCAGGCCCAGCCAGGTTGACGCACAACCGTAACTACCAGACATTTTCTTATGTTAGAGTAACTCATGTAACCGCAATAAAATACCTATTTGACTGACTTACGTTGTTAAATGGAGATTGTGAGCTTTAATTTTCTCTGTCAGTGTCATCTAATTCTTTGTTTTTCTTTCTTTATGTAAGATAGTAATGTTCCCAGTTCACTGAGTGGTCCTAGATTGTAGGTTGATAAAAGAGTCATAATCCCACTGCCATGTAGTCAATTTTGATGCATAGTGACCCTATAGGACAGAGTGGAGCTACCTCATAGGGTTTCCAAAGCTATAAATCTTTATGGAAGCCAACTGCCTCATCTTTCTCCCATAGAGGAAATAGTGAGTTAGAACTGCTGACTTTTTGGTTAGCAGCTGAATGCCTTAGCAACTGCACTACCAGAGGATAAGTTCAACAAATAGGGAAGTTATATAGGGGTAATGGTTAAAAGTGTGGACTCTAGTGTTAGCAGGCCTAGGTTCAAATCGCAGCCCTACGTCTTACTGTGGACCCTTGGGAAAATTGACCTTTTTAATCCTCAGTTTTCTCACATATAAGTGGTATAATACCTACATCACAGAGACTTGACTTAGTTGTTAAGAGCCTCAAGTCTCTGTGGTGTGGGTATTTTTTACCTAACACATAGTAAACACTAAATAAACTACACTTCTTAATACTGGTTGATGTAGTAGCAATGGTGTACTCAGTGCTCTGCTTTAAAATAAATGTTCAAGTAAGAATTCTCTTTGCAGAAACAGATGCACTTACATGATAATTGCTGGAAAACCTGAGTAGAAATGTGTACCGTGCTCTTTTAAAATTTCAATCCATGCTCGTTTTCTTTTTTTTTTCTTTTTGTTTTTTCTGACTCACATTGTTCATAAAACAAAATCCAGTAGCATCTCCCTGAAAGATGCCATTTTCTTTCTTGAGAGTTCAGTCCAAATTCATGCTTTAACTCTTTCTAGATTTTGATAGACGAGTGAACGATAACAAGACCGCTGCAGAGGAGGCACTGAGGAGGATCCCTGCCATCAACCAGACGATCAGTGAAGCCAATGAGAAGACGCGGGAAGCACAGCTGGCTCTGGGCAATGCTGCTGCGGATGCCACGGAAGCCAAGAACAAGGCCCACGAGGCAGAGAAGATCGCCAGTGCCGTACAAAAGGTGCGTGTTTCTCTCTTCTCCAAAACTAAGTCTTTGCTTATATTTCTCTAGTCATGTTTCAGTTTCTTTCTAGATCCCATAAAGCCCTTGCAAATTTTTTTACTTTATTTCTATAAAATTGTCTTAAACCATCTTTGTTCTCTTGGTTAGCTATTGCTACTGTAACACAAATACCACAAGTGGGTGACTTTACAGAAATTTTATTTTCTCACAGTTCTGGAAGCTGAAGACCAAATCAAGGTCTGGGCCATGTTGATTCCTTCCTTGTCAGTAGCCCCAAGTGTTCCTTGGTTGCTTTGTGATTTTCAAATAGCATTTCTTTTCCCCAGTATGTGCCCGTGTCTGTATCTAAGCTGCTTTTTATAACTCAGAAGTGATTAGGTTTAGGACACACGGCCTACACTGATGTAGCCTCATTAACATAACAAAGAGAGCCCTATCTCAAACAGGATCACATGCACACATACACCAAACTAAACTCACTGCTGTCGAGTCAGAAACGATTCACAGCGACCTTTCCTTGGGTTTCCGAGGCAGTATCACTAAGGAAATAGGATTTCAACACGTGTTTTTAGGGAACACAGTTCAATCCATAACACTTGAGGTTTATGTTTCACAGGGCATTAGATAAGATACCCACATTGATTGAAAGGGAAAGAATCCTTTAAAATTTCTACTACTACTTTTAGTTTTAGTTACCTAGTGCCACTCTAACAGAAGTACCACAAATGGGATGGCTTGAACAAACAGGAGTTTATTCTCTTACAGTTTGGAGGCTAGAAGTCCAAGTTCAAAGTGCCAGGCTTTAGGACCTGGGTGAAAGCCCTTCAATCTTGAGCTTCAGCCTTTCCTCCTGCGCCTGGCCCACTGAAGTTGGAGGCTTTTCTTCACTCAGGCAGCTACTGGCTGCTGAGGCTGACAAACCCAAGGTCAACAAGTAAAAAGGCATAGTCCCAGTATCACCAAACAACATGGCAGGCCACTAATTCAAGTCCAGAAAAAGTCCCGAGATGAGCAGGACATGGCAGTCTGCAGAACAATGGTTTGCTACATGCAGGATTCAAGCATGACAGAAAGCTTGAGACCATTCCCAAAGCTACTGCTTATATACTAGAAGAAGCAGACCACATCCTAAAGCAGCCACTCATCTGCTCCAATAGATTGCACCATGGAGTTAATTACCAATCTCACCAGCCACTCAACCAGGCCCAGCCAAGTTGACAACAACCCTAACTACCATGGTAGCAGGCTCTGAGTTGAAGGAAGGGAAAGGTTTTGGGAGTACAGAGCCTCCTCCCCCTAAAAAAGAAGCTTTGTCAAACTCTAAATAAACACAGTCCTTTGATACGGACAATTGGCATTTTTTTCTGTTTTACATAGAGTGCTATGTCAGCACCACTTTGAAGCCCCTCTTTCAAGTGTATTGCCACAGCTAAGCCCTCTCACATATAAAGTTTCTGTAACTGCTACTACTGAGGTTTTTTTGTGCTCATCTTAATGATTAATTTCTTTAGGCTAGCTTTTCCCTACTTAAAGGTCAATCTTTGTTTCATTGTGTCTCCAAGTGAAAGAGTCCAGTCAATACAATGTAGTGGAAAGTGTGCTCCATTTAAATATTTAGTTACCAGCTATGTGAACGCAGCTAACAATGGCAAGGATAGAACAGGTAATTGCATTTAAGAATTAAATAAGAGGATACAAATAAAAGTACTTTATAAAATATAAAATGCTATTTGGAAGGAAGGTTGGGCAATCTACTTCCTTAGTGATACTGCCTGGGAAACCCAAGGAGGGGTCCTATGAGTCAGGTCCGACCTGAGGGCACAAAGCAACAACAACAACAACATGTTAGGTGGCTATAGTTTTTATCACTATCATTTGGAATGCAAATAAGTCAAGATAGTATATATTCTGGATTTTTTTTTTACTCCTGGGATTGTATTTTTGAACCATTTTACAAATTGTAAGAGGAGAAGGAGTATATTTTAGAGAATACAAGCATTTTTTTTTTTCTTTAGTAATTTGTTTATTGTATGCCCAGAATGCCACTAGTACCAAGGCAGAAGCAGAAAGGACTTTTGCAGAAGTTACAGATCTGGATAAAGAGGTGAACGATATGTTGAAACAACTACAGGAAGCAGAAAAGGAGCTGAAGAGGAAACAAGATGATGCTGACCAGGATATGATGATGGCAGGGATGGTAAGAGATTTTGGCATGTTTTTGTTCATAAGGCGGAAAGTGAAGGGTGTTCATTAATAAAAGTCCCCAACTTGTTGGGAAGAACCTTTTTCTTATTGCCTTACATTGCATTTTCTGCTCCAGAATCGGGTTAGTAACTTACATAAAAGACAAAGAATTTGGGTTTTCTGCCAGGTATTTCTGTTGCACAACTGTCCTGTCCCAAAGCTACTCTCAGTTGAAAGCAAAACATTGTTTCACACATTTGAAGTTTTAGGACATAAAAAAAATACTTTTTATATTTTTAAGTTGGTAATTCATAAAAGGCGTACAATGAAGTTAATTTCCTTCCTACTCTTGTTCTCCTAGGAAATTGTCCGCTAGAGGCAAAGACCAGTCTCTTATATGTAAGGACATTTGTAAGGTGGTCTCTACCACCACCAGTAAAATACACCATGCTCATATCTGGTTTAATTTTTTGCCTTTTGTGATGACACACATATGTAACACCATTTATAACAAAATTGACTTGTGAATACACAACACTAGAAAGAACTAGGGTCCATTTTTTTTTAATTTTATGCCATATTTTGCTTTTGAAAGACTTCACTAGAGTCGTAGCGGGAATTATTCCTTCCTAATTCATTGTTGTGAATCATCATAATGAGATACATGAATTTGTCTTAATTGAGTACATTTAGTGCAAGGAAGGAACGCTTTCTTCTGCTGCTGCTAAAAGATAGCACCCTTCACCATGAGTCATTTTCACCATGGGATGGAAAAGAAAAATATTAGGCTTGTTAATCTAGATAAAGAAAACACTAAACCAGAACAAAACTGGTTGCTGTTGGGTCAGCTGTGACTCATGTTGACCCCATGTGTGTCAGAGTAGAACTATGCTCCACAGGGTTTTCAACAGATTTTTCCTAAGATTGCCAGGCCTTTCGTCCGAGATTCCTCTGGGTGGGCTCAAGCCACCAACCTTTTGGTTAGCAGCCAAGAATGTTAACTGTTAGCACTACCCAGGGACTCAAAAAGAAGACTAGGAAAGTCATAACAGGAAGCATCCCTGTGCAAACACATTAATAATGCTCTTTTTGTTGTTAGTTGGTTTGGACTGTCCTAATTTTCTGTGGCAATTCCCATGTAGTTAAAATATGTAATTCTTACACATGGTTAAGATCTATAGATTTCACTTTTTAACATGATCAGAAAACAATAGAGTTAGCGCCTGTTGAAAGAAGGAAAAGGGTATATCCTTTGTGAACTTCAGAAAACAGCAGGGATTTAAGTTCAAAAGAGAAAGAAAATACATCTCTGTTACTTCTGGCAAATAAATTCCAAGGAATGCAAAACACTTTGACATATACTATCCCATTTGTTTTTATATCAACCCTGAAAGGTCAACATTAGACTACTATGTTTGAGTTTGAAGGTTGTTCCTGGGAGAAGAGGCTGGGTAAGCAGGCTAAACACAGTTATACTGTTGTTTGCAGACTACAGCAAGTCCTTTCTCCCTCTCCTGTTACATTGCAGAAAAGCCTAGGAAGGCTCAATAAGAACAGCTGTGATATTCACCAGGGATTAATCGTTTACTTGTGAAGACTTTTATTTTTCCCTTGCTTTCTTTTCACATTGTTTCGATCCCCCCAAAATTTGCATTTTCTTGACCCAAAAAATAGGAAGAACAATTATATAATGGGAAGCACAAAACCTTTCATTTATATCCTGACTAAATTTATTTGTGAGGACATCTGTTTTCTGATACATAGACACTTCCTCTTTCATTGCAGTTTCCTATGACTCATGCCTAGTATTTGTTCAGGTTTCGTGGAATTTTCCCAAATATATTTACCTTTGCTTGAGTTTTAAAATGTAAATTGTATTGCCCCAGTAAATGAATGCATGCATGTGTGTATGTGTTAGAGGGCAGGGGAGTTTACAGAAAGATTCTACTTGGTTATGATAATTTTTGGACAATAGAATGTTTTTAATAAGTCTCTTAGGAGCTCTGGTAGCATAGTGGCTAAGGCACTTGACTGCTAACCAGAAGGCTGGTGGTTCAAACCCACCAGCCACTCCTCGGAAGGAAGATGGGACAATCTACTTCTGTAGTGATACTGCCTCGGAAACCCAAGGAGGGGTCGCTATGAGTCCGGGCCAACTCGATGGCACATAACAACAACAATAAGTCCCTCAAAGCGTCCTGAAGGACATGTTTTGGTTCTAAAGCTTATCATCCTCATTAGAAAAGAAAAGAAACCCAAGTTTGTATTGCTTGATGGACTTCATCAAACAACCCATGTATTCTTAATTTTGTGTGTGTGAGATTGAGAAGAGGGGACAGTATTGATCTCTGAAATTCAAATACTGTGAGTGTAGGCTTTGTTGTTAACTGTTACGAAGTGAGCCAGCAATACATGGTGACCCCATGCACAAGGAACTAAACGCAGCCCAGTCCTAAGCCTTCCCCATAACCAGTGTGGGTTGGACCACAGTGAGCCACAGGGTTTCACTGGCAGATTTTTGGAAGTAGTTCACCAGGTCTCTCTTCTTAGTCCACATTAGTCTAGAAATTCCACTGATACCTGTTCAGCATAATAGCAACACCCAAGCCTCCGTGGTGGCTGTGCGTGAGGCGTGTTGACCGGGAACAGAACCCATGTCTCCTTCACAGAAGGTGAGAACTCTACCAGTGAGCCATCAGTGCCTCGGGAGTGTGGGCATATCACCTACCTGCTCATAACTGCTGCATGATTTCGAAGTAACATCCTCAACAGGAGGATCTGGTCCTCCCCCTGGTGAGAGTATAGTTAGGAATTAGGAGGAAGGAGAGAGCATTGGGAAGTTAGATTTTTTGGCTTACGGGGAAAAAATGTTTACAGAAGATGAAAACATGTAGTCCTAACTGTTTGAGTCATTTACCCTTTTTCCCTCTACAGGCTTCACAGGCTGCTCAAGAAGCAGACATCAATGCCAGAAAGGCCAAGAACTCCATTACCAGCCTCCTCAATACTATTAATGAACTCTTAGGGCAGCTGGGTAGGTAGCCACAGAGTCATTTAAATTAAGTCTTTATGTACGGTTTTCAGGATCTGCTGTAGTTGACTCCAAAGCAGGTGACATAGGTTTACCTGACTCCCTTTAAGTAGTCCATTAAATTATTGGTGTTTATGTTTGTTTAAGCTTTTGCTGGTTTAAAAATGCCATAATAAGTATGCATAGTCCACGTTGGAGCCTTTGGTAAGAGCAACTTGCTTTATTACAAAGTTGATTATTCATCCACTTCAGATTATGAACTGAATCATGACTTGAGATTGTATTAATTCAACAAGTACTTACTAGCCACCTTGGTGGACCCTGCCCTGATAAAACACTAGGATCCATAGGTTTTCTTTTTATATTTTTAAGGTTGGCTGCCAGTAGCGGTGGCTCACTTATGGTCATCATTCATGCTGCAATTGGACAGTGATTATTTTAAGATCATTCTACTGGCTGAGTGTCTTGAAAGGATTTAAAGTGAAGGGTTTCAATAATAAAATAAAATAACACTTTAAATTGGTCACGACTTCACTGCCTAAAATCTCCTTCCTTTCCTAAATAAGACAGTGTGATGAGACAAAAAACTTTTATGCTAAAGGAGAAAGGAAACAATTGAATTTTCAAGGAAATGCAAGTATACCGAAGCCTTCTCCTAATCCAGTTGGATGGGCAGTAGGCTCCATTATTGAATAGATGTACTTTTGTCACCAGTCTTCATCATAAGGTGTTAATAGCACATCTAGGACAGCTTTGTAGCAAGGCATTATACATTTGTTAGCCTTTAAAGTATGGTGTTTTGTTTTGTGAGTTTTTTGTTTTTTTTTGGTTTTAAGAAGGGAGGGATTATGTTTTTCATCTATCTCCAATGCTGCGAGTAAGTTACGTGCCAGCAGAGTGATTTGAAGTGAAAGTAAATTAGAAGAGGCAGGGTTTTTTGTTATTGTTGGCATAATCATTTATTTTAGTAAACAATACAGTCAACAATTATAAAATCTTTTGGGCCCCATCTCCATTTACCATCTGTGAAGTAGTCTTGAAAAAATATTACCAATGTTACCAAAAATCCGTGTCGGGCAGTACACCTGTATTTTAGTGTACATGTGATTAATTTACATGTTTTTGTAATAAAGTAGTGAAAACGTTATCTCATTCAAAATATACATACATACTACTTTCAAAATTGCATGTTTTAGATTAACTACCCAAACATTCCCTGTCTCTTAAATCTCTTAAGGGGGTGTCATGCAACAATTCTTCAAGCATGATTCAAGCAGGGCTTTAAACTGGTATGTTAGGATTTGACCCCTGCTGAGAATATGCATTTCCAGCCAGATACACTGAATCGGAATCTACATTTTAGATTCAGATCCCGAGGTGACTCTTAAAGATCCCCAGTAGTCTTGTTAAATGAATCAGTTTGAAGCCCTGGAGAAAAGGCAGTTTCCCCACTGGTATCCACCAATCTACTCTCTTCCAGATGCAGAAGCGCTAAAGGCTATTGGCAATGGACTCAGGGATTATCAGTTGCATAGAAAAAGACAAGATAATCACTGATGTTTCTGTATGAGTCCTCTCAGGAAAAGCACAGTGAGAAATAGCATTGTCTTCAGGATACAGAGATAACCAAGGCTGGAAGATTGGGGAGTAGGACAAAAACATACTCTGTAAGCAGGCCTGTGCAGAAATAGGTGGAGCTGAAAGAGGTGTTTGCTGATAGCCAGTTTGCTTGTTTGATCTCACAGCAATAAGAATAAGTGATTGCTATCAGAAGAGGTAGTTTTTTTGTAGCAGAAAAAAAGTTGGACTTTGAAGTTAGTCAGACTTTTGTTAGAATCCTTGCTTTATTGTGTATTTGCTCTGTAAACTTGGGCAAATAAGTTACATCTGAGAATCACTGATATAAAATGGTGGTGTGAGAATTAAATATTTTATGTAAGAAGTGGTGTTCATTTGCAGCTGTCTGTTTCCATTTATTATGGAAGCAGCTTCTTTGAAAAGAGAACTTTTTTTGTGTGTGCTAATTTTAAAATGAAGCTGTGTTTAAATTGTTTCAACATTTCACCCTTGGCCATTTATCCATGGGAGGGCTCCTAATAGTGTCTAACCCCTGAAAGTTGAAAGCCACCCCCTAAACCAACCAATCTTCCCAGGAAGATGGCTTAAGGTTCTATCTGAGATTTTTATGTTTGTCTGGATGGCAGTACAATGACATGCAGTTTTTGTATGCAAACATGAAAACGGTGTTAAGTGTTACCAAATGACCTTTAGAACCATAAAATGAGACTTCACATCTAGGCCATGGTAATTGTGCATTTAGAAAACATTTCACAAAAAGACATTTACTTTCGGAAGAGTATCCTCCAGCCCGGTATTAATGATCTGTCCTGACCCATCCCGTCCCTGCTGAGTTAAGCCAGCATTTGTACTTGGTTTCCATTGCCCTTGCATGACATCACCAGTCTGTAATTCATGTTCACAGTGCTGCCTTTGCATAGTTGCAACTGCTGGCCTTAGTTTATCAAAAGTCTGGTAGAGGTATTTGTGGCATGGTGCTATCGTTCTTACTGAACACATCTCTTCTGTGTACCTTCTGATTCTACAGGGCAGCTAGACACTGTAGACCTGAACAAGTTAAATGAGATTGAAGGCACTCTAAACAAAGCCAAAGACGAAATGAAGGTCAGCGATCTAGACAGAAAAGTGTCTGACTTGGAAAATGAAGCCAAGAAGCAGGAGGCTGCCATCATGGACTACAACAGAGATATTGAGGAGATAATGAAGGATATTCGCAACCTGGAAGACATCAAGAAGACCTTGCCATCTGGCTGCTTCAACACCCCGTCCATTGAAAAGCCCTAGTGTCGTCTTCAAGAGCTGGAAGGCAGCACCCCCTTGACAGAGGAGCAATTGTAAGGCCACAGAGTGCCTTAACGCAAAGATTACATTTTTTCAGAACCCCACGTCTCTGCGGCTCTCCATCACTGTCCTTTTGAACTAGGAAAAGTCACAATGTTTAAAGAGAAGCAAATTAAACATCCTCAATTAGGAACAAAGGGTTTTATCTAGGAAAGTCTCTCGTCCACCAAAATCCTTCCCTTTCCCACACTTTCCCTTCTGATGTGCATAAGGATGTGACACCCTGCACTTCTGTCCAGTGGTGTAAACACATTGTGTGAACCATCATATGCCAGTGCAGAGCAAGTAGCCCTCCCTCCACTGTCTCACTGACACCAGCAGAACCTCTAAAGTCTCAGTACTCTTGTTTCTATGAAGGAAAAGCTTGGCTACTAGTAGTAGCACTGTGCTGGCCAGTATATCCAGTTGATAGAGAAAGAAACACATCTGCCTCTCCTCTTATTAAAGCAAAAGGAAATAACCATCCTGTGCCAAAGGTGTTTGTTAGTAAGAATTTCAGTAGCCATCTGTCAGTTGTAGCTGTTCGGAATGCAGGACACTGAGCCATCCGCGGGTAAGGATGCAGTTGTTTGTGATAGTCTCGAGGAGAACGTGAGATGACAGAAGCAGGCTGAAGATTTTCTCTTGTGTTAATAATTGACTAGGAAAATAAACTTTTTTCCAAATCTTTGGGCAGCTGATAACTTAAGTCTGGATGGGCAGCTTACATTCACCAGTAGACCAATAAACATTTTTTTTATATTCCTATAAATGGAATTTAAAGAGAAGAAATAGGCATATGATAACCACTAAAGTCTTTTTCAAGATAAAACTAATTGATAGAGCTTTTTTTAGTATATTAGTCTTGGAGCTAGTTTTAAGTTATCTGGCAGAGAACACTTGATCCCTAAGATCTTACGAAAGAAAATAAAACACAAACAGCCTTGTCCTAGCCTCTTCCTGCAAAAGGATAACATCTAGGTCTAGCTTGTATTGTCAAGATCCCATATATCCATTTTTCTTCTGTTGCAGAGAGAGGATACATTTGACCATTAGTCCCATTTTTTCATTTGATGTTCCCATCTTCTAGAACCCCATCAAAACACATTGCTTATCGAATCCTGGTGGCAAATCATTTGCACTCAGTATTTTACACAGCTGCCGACACCATCTAGTTCCTGCACCTTGTGATTTAAACCCACTCTAAACCTTCTCTCTTTAAGTATAGAGGGAAGACCCTTAGTTGTAGTTTCCTACTGGGCTTCTCAACTTTTGATCCTCAGTTCTGTGATTTTAAGATCACAGTGTGACAATTCCCTGCCACACATCCCCCTCCTCCTACCAACCTGCCTTTGAGATTCATATATAGCCTTTAACACTATGCAACTTTGTACTTTGAGTAGCGGGGGAAAGAAACTATTATCTGACACACTGGTGCTATTAATTATTTCAAATTTATATTTTTGTGTGAATTTTTTGTTTTGTTTATCATGATTATAAAATAAGGAATTTATGTAAATATACTTGGTCCTATTTCTAGAATGGCACTGTCCACTTCTTCACTCCATTTTTCCTCTTCACTGGTGCATCTTATCTGTATGCCTTCTTTTGCTTACATCTAAAATTCTTTGGATTGTATTTGTTCCTCATTACTTTGCTCTTTGCCTTGTGTTTGCGACACCTCTGTTCTCTGATACTAATATCAATCTGCTTTCCTCCACATATGGCCACTATAAAGAGGTACCTCAGACCCTCTTCCATTGCAGTCCTGGTGAACTTAAACTGCAGCACAATTTTGTTCTTGATGCCTGTTCTGGAGCAGGAAAGCCCTCTGACTGAGCATAGTGAACTGAAGGAAATTTTGCTGAGGGGGATCTTCAACGTCATTATGGTCTAACCAGAAATGGTTTGAGCCTGATTGGGTAACTTTTATAAGTGAGTACATAATTACTGAACATTTGTAGGGCATGCGGGACAGTGTAACTTGGTTCGTGAATAACCGTTTTCCCTTTTCCATTTCCTTGGGGCATACCAGAGTTTACCAAAAATGTTCTGACTTGGCATAGCCCTAAGCTTTGACTCTTACTTTTCTCAGGCCTCTTACACTACCACAGGAGGCATGGCTTTTTCTTGCCAAGTTTTCACATCAGTGTTGCCTGGCTAGTTCCTCTTGTCAAGTGGCCACATCCTAACATACACATTTTGGTCAAGCTTGCAGGAAAAAGACTGAAGATAGACTGCCAAGGTAGTTTTCCATCCAGCCTCTGAGTCACGTTCACTCCAGCCAGTCTTGGACCATCATGAGGTTTTTGTTTAGTTTCGTTTTTATTTTTTCCCTTCTCCATCTGTGTGGTATATTTTTAAACAGAATTTTATTTTTAAAACAAAAGTTCTTTATAAGAGGATACCTTAATTACATTCCTGCAGTATAGCCATTATTTTATTGTATAGTTCCAGTTACCTGTATTTTATGTAATAAGACTGACGGGATGGCTGCTGCAGGATGCTGAATGTCACAGGAAACATATACTGCTATTTTTCCCTGGGATTTTTCCTTTCATTCCCACTGTGGCCCTTTTATATGTGCCTTCACTTTAGCTGTTTGCCTTAATCTTTACACTCTTGCTCTCCAGGGTGGTGAATAAAATGCAACACTTGGCATTTTTTTATGTTAAAAAAAAAAAAACAGTATTTTATTTATAATAAAAGCTGAATATTTGTAACCCTTTACATACATGGTGTGGACTGAGTGTGGTACTGGGGACATAAGACATTTTGAAAGGTATGAAGGGGAAGCTGCTCGTAATGTCTGCTTTGGGTTACTTGTTAATTATAATGGAGTGAATTTTTTCTCTTTAACCTTTCTGAGATTAACATAATTTTTTGGTGCATTTCAGAAGTTGACGAATTTTCTACAAAGAGCTGTATATAAAAAAAGAAAAAAGAAAACCTCACTGCTGTTGATTCAATTCATAGTGACCCTTTTTTGGGTTTCCAGAGTGGTAGCTCTACAGAAGGAGATTGCCCAGTCTTCCTTCCGAGGAGTGGCTGGTGGGTTTGAACTGCCAGCCTTCTGGTTAGCCGTCAAATGCCTTAGGCACTGTGCTACCAGAGCTAATGTTTTAGTCTTTGCAAGCGGTACATTCTGTGTCACAGCTTCTCAGCTCTGTGGTTAGAGCACATAAGCAGCCATAAACAATATGCAAATGAATGAGCATGGCTGTGTTCCAATAAAACTTTATTTACAAAAACAGGCAGTAGGTTTAAGGCCATAATTTGTAGCATCCCTGGTGTAGTTTCAATACTTGATTAGTAAATACTGAGAACTATGTTTAAATTATTTGGGCTTCCTAAATTAGCAGATGCATTTAAAATGTAATTGTCTTTCCACTGTTTAAGTAGTCTGTATGCGCGTGTCTTTAGCTAAAGGTAGTTCACATTTCTTTAGATGATGAGAAACACTCAAACATACCCTGGAATGAAACGAAAATTAATGTGCTGGACAAGAAGGTCTGAGGTAGCTAATGTACCTCATCCCTATCTGGAGGGTCGACCCAGCTGAAGTAACATGGACTTTAAACCAGGTAAGGATTGTGGCACTATACAACCTGCGGGTAGTCCCTGGGGCTGCAAAAGCCTTCCCTTTACTCTCCAATCTTCCCTTTGTAACCGTAGGTCCTTATAGATTAAATGCCACTTCTGTGGAAACAACAGACTGGGCTCTTTAGATTTCCTCCAAGAGTGCTTTGGAAACCACAGCCAGTACTAGAGGAGTCTCTGGGTGGCCCAAATGGTTAAGTGCTCAATTACTAGCCAAAAGGTTGGCAGTTCAAACCCACTCGGAGGGTCTCAGAAGACAGACCTAGTGATCTTCCAAAATGTCACCTTGAAAACCCTATGGAGCAGTTTTACTCTGCATACATGGAGTTGCCATGATGGCAGCTACCACCATCACCAGTGTTACAGCCAAGAAAACTGTATGGGGCAGTTCTACTCTGTCACATGGGGGTCACTGAGTCAGAATAGACTCCATGACACCTAACAACAGCCAGCTTCCATGGAGTCAATTTCAACCCATAGTCTCCAGCAATACCACTTACTAGCTTTCTTACATACCTTGTTTATGGTAGTTACGTTTGTGTGTCAATTTGGATAGGGCAGCTGGTTGTAGTTATTCCTCATGGTAAGATTGGTAATTAACTCCATGGAGGAAAGTATTGGAGCAGCTTTAGGGATGTGGTCTGCTTCCTGTGTATAAGAAGCAGCTTAGGAAATGGTCTCTAGCTTATGGCATGCTTGAATCCTGCGTGTAGCCATGTTGCTCAGCAGCCTGCCATGCTCTGCCAACCTTAGGACTTTCAATTGACTTAACTGAATGGCCTGCCGTGTGGTTTTGTAACATTGGGACTGTGCCATTTGATTTGTCGACCTTGGGCTTGTCAGCCTCAGCAGCCAGTAGCTGCCTGGGTGAAGAGATGTCTCTAGCTTCAGAGGGCCGGGAGCAAGAGGCAAAGCTGAAGCCCAAGGTTGAGAGAATTTCACACAGCCCTTAGAGCCTTGCACTTTGAACTTAAAGCCTCCAAACTCTAAGAGAATAAACTCCTGTTTGTTCAAACATCCCATTTGTGGTATATTCTTGTTGGAGCTGTACTAGGTAACCAGAACACTGTTCTTTATCTTGAACAATTTTCCCCATTTGTAGCTGATCCAAATGTAAATAGATCTCCTTATTAAGGCACTCTCGTGGTGTGGTTAAGGTTGCTAAACAAAAGGTCAGTGGTTTGAACCACCAGCCGCTCTGCAGAAGAAAGATGAGGCAGTCTGCTTCCATAAAGATTTACAGCCTTGGAAATCCAATGGGAGTCACTATGAGTAGGAAAGGACTTAGTGGTAGTGGGTTTGGTCCAACACTGATGAATAAATTTCTAAATATCAGACATCAAATGCATAATTAAGAAAGTGAAAGGTTTAGTAGAAGCTCAAATGAAAAGCTAAAATGTCCCTGATTTGGAATTCAACTCTGAGAAACTTAAAATGTTGCAGATGTTGGTATAATGTTACCATGTTTCTGCTTTAATGCTTCCCTCTGCCCAGAATATCCTTTTTCTCTCCCTAGTAGAGTAAAGCCTAAGGTAAAGGTGTTATTTCCTCTGTTGATATTGGCGACTTCTTTTGAGTCTTTCAGA